GTCAGCCTAGCTCACGGCAACCTCAAACTCCTGGGCTCAAGCAATCCTTCTGCCTCAGCCTCCCGAGTAGCTGGGACTACAGGCATGCGCCGCCATGTCGGCTAATTTTTTCTATATAGTTTTTAGTTGTCCAATTAATTTCTTTGTTTTTTTTTTAGTAGAGACGGGGTCTCACTCTTACTCAGGCTGGTTTCGAACTCCTGAGCTCAAACAACCTGCCCGCCTCCGCCTCCCAGAGTGCTAGGATTACAGGCGTGAGCCACCGCGCCCGGCCTAAAAATTTCTTAAATCAGGTTTGGTTCAGCTTCCTTAGAACTACTGCTGTACTTTTTAGGGAATGCCCCACAGTTTTGTAGTTTTAATCCTGTAGATCTTAATAACCCCAATTAAACTACAACTTTTTCCAAATGGAAGATTTTTCTTTTAAATTCTTATGATATAAAAAAATAAAGTCCATACTAAATACTTGAAAAGTTAAGATTTGTGTGGGTTGTCAAAAAGGCATTTGTATGGTGTTAGCTTTCATAGAGGGCTAGGTAATTTCATTGCTACTTAGGCCCAGGCTCCCTCTTGGCTGCTGGATATTTTTTTTTTTTTTTTTCCCTACAGCACAGTGGCTGTGGTTCTTATTGGGGCCACTAGAATCATGTTTTCATGTCTTTCTGTAGCCCTTATTCCTTGGTCTGCTGTGATATTTATATTGATTTGACCCTCTTTATGGCTTTCTAGTCTGAACCCCTCTCAGCATTTAACTGTGAAATCTCAGAAATCGGAAAGGAGAGAAGTAGGATTTTTTAAATTGCTTTGACGCTTTGAAATTATTATGGTTTAATAATTTTTCCAGAGCGAAAAAACAAGCATGCTCAACAAGACTAAACAAAACAAAATACAGATGCATATCATTTAGTGTCTCAGTGACTCTAATCTACCTGTAAGAAAATGATACACACCACCGTAAGTATTTTGAGGCCTGACAAATCAGCTTCATGGAAAAAGGTAAAAATACTTCTTTTAACCCAAGAAAAAGAAGAAGGAAAGGGCAATTCCAATAGAAAACTCACCCCTTGAATAAATATAAAATGTAAAAAGTTGAAAAATTAAGAGGAATGTTCTACCTGGAAATTGAACTTTTGTTGGCACCAAGCCTTATACACAGTCAGCTCAATGACTATTTGTTGGGACGAATGAATGAAAGAAGGACAAAATGTGTAACTCCCCAGCACCTTCTAGGTTGCCTTACCAAGTGCTTTCTTCACTTGCTCTCATGTCATTCCCTGAGAACAACTAATTCTGGGATAGGCCACGTAAACATCATGACAAAGGTCCTTAAACTTTCTTAGTGGAAATCCATTTAGATCTGTGTATATTCTACAGGTAGTTCTGAGGTTAGAGAGTAAATGTCTATAAGGAGCCCTTTGTAAATGAACATTTTCCTCATTGAGCAGGCTAGGCTTCTCTAATGATGTAGAAATTAAGCTAACTTTATAATTTCACTTCATATATTTTTTTCCAATGGTCGTTTAAAAAAACCAAAACCCTACACATTGCTTAAAGGTGTTTCCCGAACATGTAAAAACTGTCAGGTCTGGCTTAAGTTGAAAGGCCTGTTTTAACTCTTTTTTTTTTTTTTTTTTGCTTCATGGTGTATTTCTCTTAAAGAGCCCTAATTTTAAATCTGACACTAAATAAGTTTGTATGAGTTCAAGCACATCATCTGTTTTCTGTCTCTAGGGAAAATCGTGTGGTTTAGCTTGGCTCTGGGTGCTAACAATATTATGTTCAGTAGCAGGCTTAGAAGAGGGGTCTAAGACTTGACCCAGAGCAATCTTTTGGAACAGAGCTTTGTGGGATGAGGCTAGGCCTGTGAACATTCATTTCTTTTTTCTTTTATGTGTCAAACTGATTGGTTTCTGCTTTAATAAAATATCCTCAGCAGAATACATTTTAAATTTGGAAATTATAGTTCTTGGTATTGAATCCATCAGTGATTCAAGAGAAATACACCTATTTATCTAAAGCAACCTAAGATGTATTAATTGTGGAAGTGTGTTAGATAGGCTTTTATGAACTATTTCCTAAATTCTTGACACAGTTTTGAAGGGTAACTTTTTGACCTGCAATGTTGAAGAGCCAATCTAGATTTACATAAGATTGGGTGACAGAGTGATCTGTGAGTGTTGGCAGGGCATTTGCCAAGTGGAATACAAGATCCAACAGGGTTTTCTTAGAAAGGGCATTATTGTCCAAAAAAGGAAGCAGAAGGACTCTGTCCTTAGAAGCATCTGCATAAAAGCTGGTGAGACCTACTCCTCACTGCTCTGCCCCTGACCTGCTGGTGATAGTCTGGGGAGTGAGGAAGCAGATTTAACAATAAGTAGTCCTTCCAGACCATTGTATTTTGAGAAGAAACATAAAACTTTTGTCTGTTACATTCCAAAATCTGCTTTCTGCTTAAAGAATATGCAAGTACCATCTTCTGTAAAGCAAGCAGCACCATGTACCAAATGCTTTACAAACCATCATCTTCGTGAACTTAGTAGCATGGTCAAAAGTTGTGTAGATATGTCTCTTAAATGATTTTGGAGAAATGTGATTTATTTTTCATATTTTCAAAATGCATTCCATTTCAAATAAAGTATCTATTGAGACAACCAACCTATGGACTTTTGAAGGTCTTGTTCAATGGACATGCATAGTGTGTGTTCCTGTGGAACAAAGATTCTAAAGGGTTTGGCCATTCTGGGAAGAAAGACCATTTTTGTGGTTGGAGATTCATTTTTAAAAAATTAACTGGGAATTTCGAATATAGAAATTCACTCAGATCTATTGGTGAAAGAATTAGTTTCCAGAATGCTAATGAATTTGAGTTGAATTTTCCATAGTTCCCAAGATGACCAGAAATGGTCCCCAGAGAATTCGCTCAAAGGAAATTCCCTTTTGAGTCCTAGAGAGAGTCTAGTTCTCTTAGGCCTCTTGGGAGGATACAGCTTTGACTCTGTGAGAATCTTCCTTTAAACAGGTATTTCTAAAGCTTCCTGTTTTGTGTTAAAAGCCGAAGAGGGACTTGATTCTTTAAAGAAAAATAGTATAACTTTATTTTTACAATCTCCATTGGCATCTAAAAGCCTTTAAATATCAAAAGACTTTAAAATAGGAAATTTGAAGACAATTTTTTTATCCCTTAGCATAGTCTTGCATTGACAGCTTTATTAGTCTACTTTTGTTTTTTAGAGAAATGAAATCTGAGAAGACAGATTACTGCCACTGTGAGAAGTCTTCAGGGATACTGTGTGAAATAAATGTATATAGTAGGTGGTAACACAGTGTTGGTAAGAGCCAGGATTTGAGGGTCATTGTATATGGGTTCAAGTTCCCAGTTATACCACTTGTTAGCTGTATAGATCTTGAATTACTTAAACTCTTTGAAACCAATTTCCTTCTCTG